ACGCTGATAACTAAAGCTTCATCCTCGATTTTATCCACGAGAGCACTCAAGATGGCGCCTAGTGTATTGATGGCAAGTAAATCGTTATCGACCCCAGGGATATAGCTAACTGACCTGCAGGTAGGAACTGGAGAGTACACCACGGGTTTCGTGGGTGGTGCTGCTTCTGGTTCGGACAAAAAGGTTGGAGTTGTCGGTTTGACCCTCTTTGACCTCCGACGACGAGGCAAGGTTGGCAAGCTGAGCATGGTGGGAGTATCCGGGCGCAAGTTCCCTGGCATTCGTAAGGCGACCCGGATCCCGGATCCAGACACCTGAATCTTGAACTGACCGTCCAGGCGAGCATCTTCGCAAGAACATCTCCGAGGTCTACAATGGCCTGGACGTTTCCTTCGAGTCCTTCCCCGCCGACGACCAGACCGACCCTGACGCCTACAAGGCAGCAATTGACGCCCTGGAGCCCGGCAGCGCCATCACCATCTTCACTCCTGACCCCACACACTTCCCCATCGCCCTGTACGCCATCCAGCGCAAAATCCACGTCATGATCACCAAGCCCGCCACAAAGCTGCTGCAGGACCACCTCACCCTCCTCGAGGAGTCCCGCAAGCACGGCGTCTTCGTCTACATCGAGCACCACAAGCGCTTCGATCCCGCCTACTCGGACGCCCGCGCCAAGGCCAAGAACCTCGGTGACTTCAACTACTTCTACTCGTACATGAGCCAGCCCAAGAGCCAGCTCGAGACCTTCAAGGCCTGGGCCGGCAAGGAGAGCGACATCTCCTACTACCTCAACTCCCACCACATCGACATCAACGAGAGCATGGTCCCCGACTACAAGCCCGTCAAGGTCACCGCGTCCGCGGCCAAGGGCACCGCCGTTGCGCTGGGCTGCGCCCCGGAGACAGAGGACACCATCACCCTGCTGGTGAACTGGCAGAACAAGCAGGACCCCTCCAAGGTCGCCACGGGTGTCTACACGGCCAGCTGGACTGCCCCTCAGAAGGCCGGTGTCCATTCCAACCAGTACTTCCACTGTAAGTCCCCCAGCCAGCTTCTGCGAAGCTTTACAATCTGACTGCTGGCAGACATGGGCTCCAAGGGCGAAATCCGCATCAACCAAGCCAAGCGCGGCTACGACATCGTCGACGACAACCAGGGCCAATTGGCCTGGATCAACCCGTACGTCTCTGTCAATTGCTTAGTTTACTGTCATGGTGTGGCGGCATTTACTGATCTCGGGGCAGGTTCTACATGCGCTACGCCCCCGACGAAGAGGGCAACTTCGGCGGCCAGACGGGCTACGGATACATCAGCTTCGAAAAGTTCATCGACGCCGTCACGGCCCTCAATGAGGGCCGCGTGACGCTGGACCAGCTGGATGCGCGACCCCTGCCCACCCTCAAGAACACCATTGCCACCACGGCGATCCTGCATGCGGGCCGGATCTCGCTGGACGAGAACCGCACCGTGGAGATTGTTCACGACGGCGACAAGTGGGAGTTGAAGTAGACGTATGTAGTTATTATTTATGTAGATATCTGAGAACCTGCAATTTGCATGTATTTAGGACACTGACATGCGAAGCAAAAACCCATTCAAGTCCCTTGACCTTTCAAACGAATAAAACTTCGTACAATCTACCCTTTGAACAAAAGACGAGATTCCAACTCCGAACACCACCGCACCATCGCCATGCTATGAAGGAAATCTGCAGTATACCAGTAACAAACATAGCGCGAAAGGTCGTGGTATCATGAACAGAAAGAACGCCAAGTGAGAAAATCCACCACATCTGCTGTAAGCACCCGCAAGGAATCGACCCTCTTATCGGCGAGAGCTCAGCCTGACAATCCCGTCGTTGCCCTTGTGGAACTTCACCCGACAGTCGGGGCAGAACCATTTGGCGGTGCGGCTGGGCACTTCGGAGAGACCGACGCACTCGAGATGGAACCATTCTTTGTCGCACTATCGAAATTATAATCATGAGTATGGATTTAAGCATGTGACAGACAAGGGTAGCAACTTACATCCTGGTTCTCGCAGCAGATCATCGTTCCGAAGCTGACATCTCCGCAGAGACAATACCGCGGTTCGTTAGGGTCAATCTCCTCCAACACGCCATCTTCATCTATGCGGATGTCCTCCCTCGTCGTGCCATCCTTCTGTCCCTGTTCGCGCGGCCCGAATCTCTTTTTCGCAGGTTTCGCCTTGCGTCGGCCGTAGCTGACCGCTGCCCCGCCGTCCTGTCCCGAGGATACCGGCCCGGGGGCGGGTCGCTTCCTGCGACGGCCGCCTGCCAGAGATCCTTCCGGGACAGGAGTCTTCCGTGCAGGCGTGGCACTCTTTCGACGGAGATCTTTGCCAGTTGCTAGACCGGCTACTTCCGTCGATGCCCCAGGCGCAAGGTGCCGAGAAGGAGGTCGGCTGACGGGCGGAGTCGAGGTTTTCGCTTCCTTGGTTTGAGCTGCTGCTACTGTGCTGGCTGCTGATGGTACGGGTGACGCCTTTTGGGTCTCGATGTTCACTGCGTGATCAGCCGTCTCGTCGACCACGGCCTCGTTGTCATCCACAGGCGTCTTGCTCATTTTACGGCGCTTTGCTGAGCTTCGTAGAGAACCACGAGTTTCAGAGTCTGCTGGGGGAGCGGGCGCAGCTTCGGCAGCTACACGTTCATCCATCGTTCTCTTTTTCGAGGCCCTGCTTGGCTTTCGAGCGGCCAAGGATGACTCCACCTGCGATTGGTCGGGAGCTGCTGCGTCTGTAGCCCCAGACTCGGCAAGACGTTTGGCCTCGGCCGCTGCGGCGGCTGCCGCTGCCGCTTGCTCCCTGGCCATGTTTTCCCGCTTGAGTTTCTTGGCCTCGTTGAGTTTCATCCCACGATTGCTCAACTTGGTCTCCACCACGCCCTCGATGCCGTTCGCATCGCTGAGCCGCGTCAACATTCCCGGGACGTAATTGTTCATGATATCGTCGCAGTCAAGAAACTCGGTGCCATTAGCTTCTGCTTCCGCTTTGGCTTGCCGATACGCGTCCCACCCTCGCCCCCGGAGAGCGAGTTCGCGGTGAATCATGACCTCACTAGGCTGCCAGACGGCGTTCTTCTTCATCTTCTTGCGCAGTTTCGTCATCTCCCATTCAGTCAAGCGCAGCCAGGGTAAATCTTCACTGCCAGGTTTGGCATCCTCCGGTGGTGGTTTGAGCATTGCCAGAGCATTGCTGGTCGACATGGCAGCACCATGGCCATGACCGTTCGTAAGTGGAGCGGAGGTCCGTGATCGACGAGTCTGTTTCTCTTTTTTGCCCTTGGCGACCGCGAGCTCCTCTGGTGCGGCAGTGCGAGTCGGTTTCGTTCCAGCTTCCACATCTGAGTGCTCGGTGCTAGCGATCGGAGAGTCCGGATGAAGGCCGGAGAGGTGATCCGCAGCAAGCTTTCCCCGCCGACTCCTCGACCTTTGTTCTGGTTTCGACCCCGCATTTGCCGCACCGTCAAGCCGTAATTTTATGCGCGTTGTCGTCGGCGCAGCGGCCTCGCCTTTCTTTGAGGATCGACCTCGCTTATTAACCGCAGTCTGAGTCTCCGGAGGTGTAGGTTCGCGCGACTCCGGTTTCGGCAATGCATGGAGTTTCTGCTTGATGCACTCCAGCCGGTTGAAGTGTCGATCGACAACATCGTAGAGGCGGCACGCTTCGGCATAGGCAGACTCGCGCGCGTTGATTGCTTGGTCAAGTTGCGCCGAGATGTTTTTGCGGAGAGTCTGCGCGTCTGGGCGCTCGTGGGAGGAGAGGTCGGGGAGCTGGCCCCACGTCTTGGTGAGTTCGTGAACATTCTGTGTAGCCTCGAGATAGCGCTCGTCCAAGCCACGTATGAGGGTGAGGGAACGGATCAGGTCCGCGGGGAGGTATTCGGTGTAATCTATGAAGTCGGTAACGGTGGCCTGCGCATCGGGGTCAAAGGGACCATCGAGGATGACGCCACCGTCTTCATCGTTATAATCTGCCATAACCATGGCTCCCGTCTGAAGCTAGGAAGACAACGAAGATTCGAGGAAACGATAGCGGCAAATGCAAGTTAGACAGAGCAAGAGGTATGGTAGGGGGCTAGGTGGGTGGCACCATCCGTGCAGCCATGAAGGTAGCGATCAAGGCAGATGCATGGAATGTAGCTTCGAATCAGACCCAAAGTGGCTTGCGATCGACAATCTCAGTGGGAAAAGATGCGCAACGAGCACAAGGACCAGAAATTGATGCGGCGTCGTTGGCCACGACCATGATTGATCAGCCGCGGTCTGGCAATGTTGTTGATCGGGCGTCGGGGAAATATTATTCCGTCTCTATATTTACATCTGCGTCTCGCCGTCGCCGATTGTCCACAAACGGTCAACCCATATCAACACAACAAGGAAATGGGAGTCACTTCAATCGATTTGCTTCTATAAATGATAATGCATCGTGTGCTCCTAGCCAACTGTGACGTTGCGCGGTATATTAAGGTTTTGGTTCCTGTGGACAAAAATGTTTGTCAGGATATATATCTCGACCATGATGGTTAATGAAGAGGAAGAGTCCTAGTTTCCGAATCAAGTGATACCCTCCAGCTCAATAGATCTGTCAAGTATTGAACCTATTGTGAAGGTAGAGAGTCGTATAGAACAATAGAAGAAAGAAAGTGAAGCCAGTGAAGCCAATGACAAGAAGATAGATTGATAGCACGGTGGTTATGAGACTCGTGAGAAGAGTGAGGATGATCGCCCATGATATGATTGAGAAAATAGCTGACTGCAGTACACCTCAGCATTCACTGACACCGGAGCAAGGTAGTATATCATGTCTTGGTTCGTGGTCACCAACACGGACTCGTTTGCTTGTCCTGGTAGGACAAACACTCCTATCTTCCCAACTTTGCCCTTACAATTGCTCCATTCTCTTAGCTAAACACTGCTTCTTCCCGCCCACTTGTTCTCTTCAACCGTGGCAGTCATCATATCCAAAGCTTCGAGATGGACAGAACAGAACGCCTGAAGCTGCTCTTCAACGAGGACGAGGCTTTGCTTCAGTTCAACACCCGTCTCAATGCCGTATCTATACCTGACTCCGAGCCAGCCGAAGGAGCTTCTTTGACTGTAGTAACACAGGAAGAAGTACAGTTAGAAGACGACGGCAAAGTCTCGGAACCCAATACTAAAGCAGAGGAAATCGCCGAAGAGCCTGACCAGAGCACTGTCCAAGAGGCAGACAAGTGCAACTCATCCATTCAGGCATCAGACACTAAAGCTTTCACTCATGACGGAGAGGAGCCACCAACACCAATCGACGGATTCTTCTGTCCCCTTATGGCCATGTCTAGATATCCATACAAGTTCGTGCGCAAAGAACTGTCACAGACGGTGGCTAGCCGATTTTTCGACGGAGGGAAGTTTTGGCAACGAGTCTGGGATCTGTAAGGTACCTGGCTTACACACTTATAGCTGTCTACTGATGAAGAAATGTCGCAGATACTATGTCCACGTCTCTCCTCAGCTCAGGCATCGTCCACTGTTGCTCGTGCCTGCTGCTCAAGCCTGGAAGTTCATACAGGAAATTAATCGTGAGCTTGAAGCGACGCTGTCGATTCCTGAGGAAAGCGAACTGGGAATGCTCTTGGACTTCAACCTGGAGGGAGTTCCTCAACCAACGTTCATCGGCCAGTGTACAAGCCGGGAGATGAAAGATGATCTGGAAGCGACCATCCCTCCGCGAACCAACTATGAGCCTCCTACCGAGATGGATGAAGCGCGTCTCGCGTACGAGCAAATGATTGAACTCGGAATAAATGCGTCGAAAAACAAGAGTAGGAGCAAAGCATCCAAGACGAAGAAACAGCAGATCCGGCTTCAGGCTGAAACACAATTGGTACAAACTCGGAAGAAAATGCATTGTCACCTCGGTCTACGATCCTACCACTCCCTAGATCTTCCAGAACTTATAGACGAACGATCCTGGGAAGAGAAGCGAAATGACGACTGCAGTATGGCGCAAAGGCTTGACAACGTGTGTGACAACGGGATCCCTCGTCTCGATATGAATAATCCAACTATATTTCCATTCTGGAAAGAGCCGATTTTCATCTGCGTTGACGTCGAAAGCAACGAGCGTTGCCATGAACAGATCACGGAAGTGGGCATTTCAACTCTGGACACTGTGGATCTGGTTGGCATCCCTCCCGGCGCGAACGCAGAGAATTGGACCTCCAGAATCCGCTCCCGTCACCTGCGAGTCCGAGAGTATGGCCACATTGTCAACCGTCAGTACGTATTAGGATGTCCGGGCAGTTTTGAATTTGGGGAGAGCGAATGGGTGTCCAAAGGGAAACTGGCCGATGTCGTCCAGGCCTGCTTCCAGCCTCCCTACTCATTCGGTATCGAAGACACAGCTGGTGTCCAGCTCGGCAGTGGCCCTGAGCACAAGCACCAGAAGCGCAACCTGATTCTCGTGGGTCACAACACCTCGATGGACGTCAAGTATCTGGCAACTCTGGGCATCCCAGTCTTTGAAGATGTCACGACCGCCTTCCTGGAGCGCATCGACACTGCCGAGTTGTATCGTATCATCAGAAGTGAGTTAAACCAGCGTTCGCTGGCAAGCATTCTCAGCGAACTAGGAATCATCGGATGGAACCTGCACAATGCAGGGAACGATGCTCGCTATACGCTTGAAGCGCTAGTGCGAATGATTTGTCGTGATACAGGCGAGGTTAGCGTTGCTGCTTCAACGGTGGAATAGATTTTCTGCTGGCCAGGTACTTTCTGCCCTATGCAGTCTATGATTATGTTATTGTACCCCTTGTGCCCGATCAAGCCAATAGTATCGCTACTGGGGATGTCGTTGCTATCAGCGCAATCACCCTATGTCACAGTTTCTATTAGTTACTGCTGTTATGCGAGTGAAAACAGAGACATACTAGCAATCATTGGGTTTACCTTACCTCTCACTCTGTGGTCCAATACATATATCCGATACATAGATCATATCATAATATGACGTGTATAATCGTCAACTTTACTGATCAGCCCTGAACAACACAAGCAACTTTCCAAGACACAATCTCGTCCACCAAGCAGGTCCATAGCCTCCCTCTGCACTGTCTAGACCATTAAGCTTAATTCAAGCATAGATACAGTTATTAAGGTGCATTGTCCCTCACTAGCTAGTTGACTTACTAGTATAACTAGTTGCCGACTGCCGGCTGACGTCAAACTGATAATAATAATGATAGTTAATGATACCGATAATGATAATGATAAGCTCCAGCCCACCACCGTTGCCCCTCCTGCCCCTCAACCAAATATACCTACAAAACCCAAACTTCACAACCTCACCACCTCACATCCTCTAACGACAGACAATACAAGAAAACAAAAACAAAATGACGACCCCACTAACAGTCCACCTCCTCAACATCTCCACCTGCCCCCTCTCCAACGCAACCACCCACCCCTTCCTCCAACAAGCCGGCCGCGGGCAGATCCCCAAACCGCTTCTCTCGCAATGGCTCTCCCAAGACCGCCTCTACGCGCAGTCCTACATCCGCTTCATCGGCCTGCTACTATCCAAGATCCGACTCCCGCCGCACAACCCGGACAGCTCGAAGTCTCGCACCTCGACAGCCGAGCACCGCGCCATGGAGGTGCTTATCGACGCGCTGGTGAATATCCGCACGGAGCTGCAGTTCTTCGAGGACACGGCGGATGAGTACGGGCTGGATTTGACGGCGTTGCCGGTCGCCATGGAGGACGAGGAGCGGGAAAGGGGCGAGTGCGTGCGCGGCGAGGATAGGGCCGAGGAGTCGTACTTTGGTCCGAATCGGATTACCCAGGCGTACATCGATATGTTTATGTCGGCGGGGAGTGCGGCGACGAGTCTGCTGGAGGGGATGGTCGTGCTGTGGGCGACCGAGGCGTGTTATCTGCAGGCGTGGCGGTTTGCAGCGTCGTGTGGCGCGTCTAGGAAAACGACGGCGGGCCCGGAGCAGGACGCCGATGGGGGTGCGCTGCGGACGCGGTTCATACCGAACTGGACGAGTCCCGAGTTTGAGGCGTTTGTGCGGCGCATTGGGGATGTGGTGGATGAGCTGGCGGGGCAGATCAAGGGGGCCGAGGAGCGTGAGAATGTGATGGGTCGCTGTGTGCAGTGGTGGCGGCAGGTGGTGTGGTTGGAGGAGAGATTCTGGCCGGTTGTCAAGGTAGACTAAGTTAGGGTCTGTAGGGATAATTGATAAAAGATAAAAGCAAATAAATATCATTACAGTTCGTCCTAGTCATCGCGTCGTCCAGAGATCAGACCCCCCCAGTACTCCGTACATGACATAGCAAGCAAGCAAGCAACCCAACGCCAGTCCTTTCGTTCCTGTTGTAAATGCATCAAGCCATCCCGCTGCGAACCTCAGGCTTCTATCCCGTGGACATGTAAAGAAAGACTCCGGACGGCCGGATGTGCTGCCAGAGCCGACGCGAAAGAAAGCAAAGCAGAAAACAAAACACACAGTAATGTATCAGTTTGCAACATGTCAGACTTTTGAACCAGCAAATCTTAGTCGAATACAATCGGTATAGGTGTACATAGAATACATAGTCATCCATTAGCGAGCGTATCAAGAGGTCGCTGCACTCGCACGAGCGGCATTGCTCAGTTGCCGATGGTATGATCCAATCGGCTGGAAACCTCTGTATAGACACCATCAGCATCGGCCATTCATCAAATCAAAAGAAGGGGAACAAACCTGGCGAGATCGAATCCTCCTTCGTCATCATCATCCGCATCCGGCCCCGCCGGCGCCATCGGTCGCTCCGACTTGACCGTACCGTTGACACCTGGTCTTGCTTCCCCGAGGTCTCCTGGCTCGGTTCGCAGCGGCGGAAGCGTCCGTCCGTGTCCGAGACCGTTCGATGTCCCCGGCTTACTGGGACTGACCAGATTCGGCGGCGGAGGACTACTGCTTGGGAAACTGCCGATGCCATCCCCGACTTCGCCCTTGAGCGGACTCATGTCGGGCACTGGCCGTGCTGGTGTGCTACCAATGTCCGCGAACTTCCAGAATTGCGCAGGCGAGCTCATCGGCATGAACTTGGACGGGACCTGGGCTGTGCTAGGAGGCGGAAGTCGAGGCTGCTGCCGCTGCGGGGCCGGCGTAATCATCGACGACGGGCCATCGTCGTAGTACGAGGACGAGAGAACGGGCGGCGAGTTCACCACGTTGTCAGAGAGTCCATAGGCACGAGTCAATGCGCTGCCGGCCCCGTGATTCTTGGTGGCAGAACGTGTAGGCAACGGGGATGGCTCCTCGTAATCCCGGGCATTGGTGTTGCGGAGAGGATGGTCGACACCACGAGCGACCCGCGAGCCCCGTTCCGGCGTGTAGGCCTCCACGGGTGCTACGGGGAACGAGCTAAATCCTGGGGAGGACACTGCCGGCGATTTCTTGCCATTGAAGACGTTTTCGGAGTGGTTGTTAGCACTCCGCGACACAGGCTCTTTCGTGGCTGGCGACGACGGGGCGGAAGATTGAGTAGTTCCCTTTCGGAGCTGCTTCTTCCAGTACTCTTCGCGGTACTCCGCGGCAATCTGCCACTTCATTCCCTTTCCTGGCTCGTCTGTACGCCGAGGGACTTTTTGGAACGCCTTATTCAGCGATAGATTGTGACGGATGGAGTTCTGAAGTTTGTCAGTTGTCAGTTGCGGGCAGCGACGGTGAAGAAGAAAAATGAAGACGACCTACCTGCCATCCGCTCTGGGAATGCCGGTAAAAGGCGTATTTGTCCATGATCCAATTGTAGATGCTGTTCAGAGTGAGCTTCTCCTCCTCGCTAGAGAAGATCGCCTGCGCAATCAGAGTGGCGTAGCTATATGGCGGTTTCAGATCCTTCGCCGAGTCCTTGCTGTAGTCAATCTCCTCCGTGCTTTCCATCATCATCCCGCGGTTATAGAGCGGCGACTGTTTGGCGGTGCGCGGACCGACGGTGTCTGGCGAGCGCGGCGGGGGAGTCACCTGGCGTTTGAGGAACTGCGGGGCGGGGGCTAGCGATGGCTGACCGCTGGCGCCGGCTGAAGCGGTCGCTGAGGTTTGGTCGTTCATCACCGCGCTCGGCTGCGATGGCTGGGGATGCGAGTGCTGGGTGGGATCCCACGATAGCAATTCTTCTTCACCATTGGCGATGCGCTGGGCGCGCGCCACGAAACTGGGATGGATATTGGCCTTGTCGCCCGGAGTGACGAACATCATCTGGGTGTTGGCGATCTCGATGATGTCGCCGCAGGAGATAATCGCATCGGTCCCGCGCTTCAGAATGACGTTGTTCAGACGAACCCCATTGCGTCCATTGACGCGAATGTGCCAGGAAGGGGTTTCCCCGCCGTCATAGAAGATCTCCGCATGCAAACGAGAGACGAACTTGCTCGGGCCCAGATCGACATGGACGTCGGGGAGGGCCCTTGCAGCGATCGTAACGGGACTCGACTGCTCATCCAACTTCGGTTCGCGATCCGGTTCGCGTCCGATATTGACATGCAGTGTTTTGACGTAATAGGTCCAGTTGCGGCCGGCGATTTTCGCATATGCGCGGATACTCTGCGTGTTCTCCGTCTTCTTGTTCGAGTGGTCCCGTGCCACGCGCACTTCTTCCCGGGCGACATTCAGACAGGATATGACCATGTCCACCAGGTCCTGGTTGGCGGACAGTTCATTTTCGGGGGACGAGTCGTCGGCCTCATCGGCGGATTCTTGCGCTTTGACGGGACGGGCAGGAGGGGAAGGACGGTGATCAACCTGTGGGAGCAGATTCAGTACACAAACACATCCCGATCGCAAACAAAAAAAAAAAGCTTAAGTCAGGTCACTGACCTTGCGCTTCTTATTCGAAGGCCGAGATGGCGACGAGTCCGGAGCCTCCGCGTCTGATGTTTCCTGCAGTTGGATTTCCTTGCGCCGCGCGCGGCGCCGATTTGATAGAGGCATTTCTTGTCGATATTGTTTGTTGATTTGTTTGGTTTGGTAGACTAAGCCGGTGTAAACAAATATGGGTTGATCGACTATCAACCACGAGAAATAGGCGTCCTTTGTTTTCGATGATATCTAGCAACGGCGTATGATGCAGTTTGGGAAGGACGAAAGCAGAGTCGGATAGACGGAAGCAGAGAAGCAAAAACAGAGAGGCGACCAAACGAACAGAAGGGAAAAACCTAAGCCGGGAAAATCCCAGTGTTCGTCGCAAACTCGGATGAACTGCGTGAGAAAGAAAAGAACCCAAGGAACTGATGACGGGTTTGCCACCACGCAGAGAAGGCGACGCGATCTGTGAGTGGCTGGTGGGAGGGGTGGGAAGCCAGCCACTTGCGGAGGTAAAAAAAAAATAGACGTGCGTTAAGTAAGGCTTAGTATTGCCTTGAAAGGATAGGTTCAAGTTGGACAAAAGGGGGGTTTTGATTAGACAAGGGTTTGTGTCCAATGTTAGGGCAGGAAAAGAAAGGAATAGGTAGATAGAGGACAGAGAGAAGAAGATGGTGGTGATGATGGTGAGGAGATTGATGATGATGTTGCTCGTGATGGTTGATGGCGCAGTGACGATAACGCGCCGATTGTGTTTGGGGCGTGACCTCTTCCGCGTGGGGAACAAGAATTCAATTATACCACCATTCACCTAGATTCAAACGCAGGATGAACTTGTTGATCCTGTAGAACAAGGAGATAGAGGTCAAAATATTTTGATATCGTAGGATTCCCCCAGTCT